GTTTCTGGTCAGCTGTATTATTGTAGAAATTGATAGACACACCAAATAAACACTATGCACATCAAATAATTGTCTTTATTTTCTTTAAAAAACTAAGAATTTTAAGGTTATATGTCTTATTAAATCTAAGGCACTTAAGTGTTAGAATATTTGAATAAAATGAAATTAACATTGGCCTTTAAAAAAATGCTTCTAACTGTAGACAACTATATTTAAAATACATGTGGTTGAGGATTCTTTTCTAGTGGATCTGTGAACTTAGCCAAAATGCACATTCTAAGAGAGTTTTAAAACAGTATTCTTTCGTGAAAAAATTACTCAAAGTTACACTTGGGAAAAGTGATGTTAACACCAAAAGTCAATTATGCCAGCAAAAAGTTGGTTTCAGTGCCTGCCAATGCAGACGTTTATTTTTTCTCTGAATTCCCATAAAACTTCTGAAAACTCAGATCTAAGCTGTAGGCTCTGCAAAAGAGTAAGTTACATCAGAATGTACCTACGAAAAATTTGAACATTTTGTTGACTTTATAGTTCTCCATTTCAAGATGACGGTCAGCAGTTGTATGGAGAAAGAACACATACATGTCTGAACAGACGAAAACTAGACAAAAAGTATTTAACAATATTAAACCTTATCAAGAAGATGTGACTTTAAAAAATATTGTTCAAGTAGTAATATTTATAATATTAATAAACAATCCAGATATATTTAGACAAAAAGCTTTTTTTTTCTTAACAGCTTTTCACCTTCCCTAGTAGCTATTTTGTTGATTCAAGAATAAATTGATTAGTAATAAAATGAGAAACAAATGGCCCATTTTTAAAATATTGGTAGGCTACAGTAAATAGTTTATCTTCCAAATTGTAACATTAAAAACTAAATAGACTGGGGTGCCTGGGTGGCTCAGTCAGCTAAGTGTACGACTGGCTCAGGTCATGATCTCACAGTTTGTGGGTTCAAGCCCTGTGTTGGGCTCTGTGCTTAAACCCAACGTCATCCTTTCTAGCCTATAGGTTGGGAAAAACAGCTGCAGAAACAACTTCTACCTAGTTTTGCCTGAGATTTATATTATATTTTCATCAAGCTGTACGATGTTACAGACTGAAGTCTCCACAAAATTTGTATGTTGAAACTATAATCCCTGGTGTGATGGTACATGATGATTGGCCCTCTAGGAAGGTAATTAGGTCTTGAGGGTGGAGACCTCAAGATGGCTTAGTGCCTTTGTAAGAAGAGACAGGAGAGCTTGCTTTCTCTCTGATCTGGAGACCAGGAAGGGGGCCATCACCAAGATCTTGGACTTCCGAGCTTCCAGAATCTGAGAAATAGATATTTGGACTATCTAAACCATCCAGTCTATGGCAGCCCAAGCTAACATATGAGAAGGGAGAAGAAATGGAAATCCACCCCCTCCACCCCAAATCTTAGCTAGGACTTCAGAAAACCCTGATGGGTCTACAAGAAAACCATACATCCCTCTGAGCCATTGTAATCATAGCCATTTTACATATTGAGAAGTCTATATACTAAGCACCATGCTGTGTGATTTATGTTCTTTCCATTTCTCTAAATACTAAGGACAATGTTATCCATATTTTATAAAAAAAAAAAATTTATCGTTCAAAGAAATTATCACCTACCTACTGGTCACACCCAGTTAAGTGTGATTTGTGACGTGAATACTAATCTGTTTTAATAGATATAATCACTGTTAACTGCTAGTATTGATTTTTTTTTCACTGAGAATTTGATAGTTTATTATAGTCCCCTATACGAATCCCTCCCCCCGCCACCCTAGGCTTTGCAACTAGTCCATTTCAGTTAAAACTAAAAGTCTTGCGAGGGGCACCTGGGGTGCCCTGTCAGTTAAGCATCCTACTCAATTTCGCCTCAGGTTGTGATCTTGCAGTTTTGTGGGTTTGATCCCCTCATCAGGCTCTGCACTGACGCCAAGAGTCTGCTTGGGATTCTCTGTCCCCACTCTTTCTGCCCCTCTCCCACTTGTGCTGTCTCTGACTCCCTCGAGAAAAAGTTAACTTAAAAAAAAAAACAAAGTCTTGGCCAAACAGGATTGGCATGTCAGGGCACCTGTTCAGTCCCAGAGGGCGGTCCCTCAAACCCCCCCTTCGGATACCAATCTGCCCGACACTAGGTATCACCTGTTATTCTGACTGACCAGCTATAGATGAGAGTTCCAAGGACCCAGTCCCTGGATCCACTGATTTGCTAGAAAGCTCACAGAACTCAGAGAAACATTTTAGTTAATAGATTACTGGTGTGGTTGCTGTTGTTAGTCTACTTATTCTGAGAGAGTTCTAGCAGGGAAGGGGGAGACAGAGGGGGAGAGAGAATCCCAAGCAGGCTCTGCACCAGCAGCACAGAGCCCAACTTGAAGCTCAGTCTCAGAAACTGTGAGATCATGACCTGAGCTGAAACCAAGAGCTGGACTCTTAACTAACAGAGCCACCCAGGTGCCGCATTTACTGGCTTATTTTAAAAGGACATAGCAAGGGGTGAGACACCTGGGTGTCTCAGTCCAATTTCGGCTCACATCATAATTTCATAGTTCATGAGTCCAAGTCCCCCAACAGGCTCTTAAAAACATTTTTTAAAAAATGAAAAATAAATAAATAAGAGGACATAGCAAGAATAGCCAGATGGAAGAGATATAAGGCAAGGTATCAGGAAAGGGTGGGAGCTTCCATCCTCTTTCTGGGAATGTTACTCTCATTCCTAAATGTCCACATGTCCACCAACCCTGTGTGCAAAGAAGTTCTGCAAACCTTGTCCTTTGGGTTCTTATAGAGGCTTCATTGCATAGTCATGATTGGTTAAATCATTGGCCAATGAGGGCAAACAATGTCCAGTCCCTCTTCCTCACCTACAGTATAGGAAAGTTCCTACACTGTCGTCACAAGGTTGCTTCTCCTGGCAACCAGCTCCCATCCTTCTGGGTGTTCTCAAAAGTCTTCTCATCAAAGACACCTTTATCACTCTCATCACAGGAACTTCCAAGGGTTTTAGAGGCTGTATGCCAGGAATGGGATTAAGACCAAATATGTATTTCTTATTATAAATTACAGTAACACAAGGTAGCAGATTTCCTCTACTCTCTAACAAAAATTTTACAACACAGCAAACATATAAAACTTCTCGTGACAGGGGCGCCTGGGTGGCTTAGTCGGTTAAGCGTCTGACTTTTGCTTAGGTCATGATCTCGCGGTTAGTGGGTTCAAGCCCCGCGTCGGGCTCTGTGCTGACTGCCAGCTCGGAGCCTGGAGCTTGTTTCAGTCTGTGACTCCCTCTCTCTCTGACCCTCCCCTGCTCACGCTGTGTCTCTCTCTCTCCTAGAAATAAAAAAAAACAAAAAACAAAAAAAAACAAAAAACTTCTCATGACATAATGTAGAATAAAGGGCTAAAGGACATTGCATTCTCCGTTCCATTCCGGTGTTATAATTTACCATATGAGAATGAAATAGTCCAGATTCTTCAAGGTCTCCTAAATGGCAGTTTAAGAAGTCCATGGAGGAAGCACCATTGATGGCATAGAGCCAAAGAAGCTCCCAGATGCCTTCTGCAGAACTATCCCAGCTTCCTTCGTCCATCTAGACCAGAATGCAAAAGCACTTCTCTTCTCTTACAATGCAGTCCTCCCACCTTTGAGAAGGATTTTTCTCTTCCCAGCATCTGGCATCTGCCGTGGTGACTCTGTGGGATCATCTAGGAAAATGCTTCCTAGGAAGTGCACTTAAAAAATTCTTGTTGAGGGGCACCTGGGTGACTCAGTCACTTAAGCATCTGGCTTTGGCTCAGGTTCTGAGTTAGAGCCCTGTGTCCAGGCTCTGTGCTGACAGCTCAGAGCCTGGACTCTGCTTCAGATTCTGTGTCTCCCACTCTCTGCCCCTTCCCTGCTCGTGCTCTCTTTCAAAAATAAATAAATAAATAAATATTTTAAAAATTCAGTTAACTTATTGAGGAGCCTGAAATAGGGATGTGATTAATAATGTATTCAAAATATTTTTAATTCTTCTAAAATAAAACTTCCAAAAGACAAATCTTACGTTTATCTGAGATAAGATTACATCAGTCATAGAATCAAAGACTATCTACATCAGAAATTATTTAAGGGACAGCTTAATCTCCCCATCCAATACTTTGATCTCTTATGGAACATTTCCAACACCCTTTCAACACAGTTTGGAAAGTAGAATTTTCCACTTCACAATAAATCTCAAGTACATTTCTGAACTATTTCAAAAATTCATCTTCATAAAATGTTGAAATCTTTCTCCTTATAATTTCTGCCCCTTAGGTATAGTTCTGTTCCCTGGAACTACTACGTCATTAAAGGAGTAATCTGGTTTCTCTGAAATAAATTTCATCCATCTGACAAAGTTAATATATTTCTTTTACCCTAGAAGTACAAAGTGTGAAGGTTTGTCTTAATATAGTACAAGGATATCCCTACTGAGCTGACAGCCATATCTGGGAAAACCTTACATTTTAAAGAGAAATTACAAAGCAGTCCTCACCACTGAAAGCCATGAAAGGTAAGGAATTAACTCCTTCTGAATACTACACAGAATAAAGAATCCCAAATGCTTAGCTTCTGGCTTCTGGTTGTAAAATTCATATATAAATTCCTAAAGGCTTTTTTTTTTTTAAGTAGGCTCCACATCCGGAGTGGAGCCTAATGCAGGGCTTGAAATCATGACCCTGAGATAAAGACCTGAGCTGAGATAAAGACTCAGACACTAAACCAACTGAGCCACCAAGGTACCCCCATATTTAAGTTCCTAATAAAACACAGCCTCTCTTTATCTTTTGATACAACTCCACCCATTTAGTTTTAAATATCATCCCCTCTTCTCAAGAGTTGGCAAGTAGGAAGAGATTTCCAAAGCAATTTATTGCTCATCACTTTTAGAACTTTCTCATAAAGATAATTTACATTTTTAAAATGTCATCAAACATTTAAAAGACATTATCAGGCATGATAATTTTAAATCACTGACATTTTATTAGCAACATTATGAGCACCAACATCACTAAAATTCCTTCCTCTTACTTTTTTTTTAAGTAACATTGATGAACTAGTGGAAGTAATTTCCCTTCTTTGTGAAGCCTGTGAGTGTCAGTTGCACCTCCAATAAAAGTTCCATTGACAAATATTCTCGGTACCTGTTGAATAAAGAAAAGATTAAGTGTCACTCTATTGTTAGAGGTATAAGACCATTTCACATAATAGTAATAGATGCTCACACTCTGGGCACTTTTATACGCCGGATGTCAGACTACCCTCTTGCACAAAGTATATACTTAAATCTTCACAACCCTTGAGGCAGGTACTATTTTTAGCCTTATTTTGGAAAGAAATGAAGCACAGGAACTTGCCCAAAGTCACAATGATAGTAAATGAGAGAGCTAAGATTTAAATCAAGGGCAATCTGACATTCAAGCCCATCCTACTAATTGCTATGGCATATAAAAGGTAACCTAGTACAGTCTGTAATTACTGTTTATATGTTTAGGTGGTTATTTCGTAGGTGGTTCTTTGTTTACTAAAAGGGAAGATCATGCTATTAAACATCTTCCATGGAAACAGAAACAAGAAGGGAAATAGCGACACTGTATATTTTCCTGACAATGCATTTCACTGAAAAAAATGCTTATTATTAGACAAATTTCAGGAATCTAAAAACATGAAGAACGAAAGCACTCCTATTAGCACTGTACTTGAAGACTGACCCCTGGTCTGTAGTGTTCAAGTAAAGGGAGGGATTTCACCTTAAGGGCTCCAGAAGGATCTTAAAGATTCACAAACACTCATGACAACACTATTACCCCACCCTCCCAGTCAAAACACACACACACTAACACACACATATGCACACATGGCAAGAATAAAAATAAAATGAATGAACTCTGCTGTATCCCAGTCTCTGAATCTTGTTCCCAAGTCTGCCATTTGTTTATCAATACAAAATTCTTAGACGATGAGTAAACGCCTGGCTCACTTTTCCTCACAAGAGGGTCTAGGCTCTAGGTGACCCAAGTCACCACCTATTTGGGGGAAAAGCACCACAGAGGAGATACTCACAGTTCTTTCACCAGTCATTTTGTACAGAGCATCTTGAAATTGACTTCCATATTCAAGCAGGTCCAGTTCCACCACTTTATAGTTAACATTCATGTCATGGAAAAGTTTTTTTGCCATTGTACAGTAAGAACAAGATGTTTTTGAGAAAATCACCACACAATTATCAGAAATTGTTTCCTGAAGTCAAACAAAGAAAATAATTATTTTAATTCTAGGCATTATCTTCTGTAAAGAAATCATGATTATAATGGAAAGGGTATGGATTTTGGAGTCTCATGATACAGTGCTCAAATTCAGTCCCATCATCTATTTTCTTATCTGTACATTGAGAATATTATTCATTTCAAAGGGATGTTTTTAGGGAAAAAGATGTAACAGATGGAAAGTTGACATGAAGTGGTAACAATAATCATACCATTATATCCAGCAAACATTTCTGTGTGCCAGACACAATTCTTAACATCTAACCTTTACTAGCTCATTTAAACCTCACTATACTATAATCCTGAGATAAGGTCCAATTATTATCTCTGCTTTACAGATGGGGAAAGTGAGGCACAGAGGAAGCTAAGTGACTTCCTCATGGTTCTCATCTAGTAAGAGCTGGAGAGATGGGATTTTAACCTAGGCAAGTATAACTCTACAGTCCAGGCATTTAAACTCTGTTACACTGTCTCTTAAATACTCAGATATTCAGAAGTTAACGCCTTACCTTCCTTAATTTTAATCATGAGGACTGATTTATGATTTCTCTTTAAGATGTAAGGCTTTGGGGTGGGGGGGGCGTGCCTGGGCAGCTCAGTCAGTTGGGTGTCTGACTTCGGCTCAGGTCATGATCTCACAGTTCATGGGTTCGAGCCCTGCTAGCTGACAGCTAGCTCAGAGCCTGGAGCCTGTTTCAGATTCTGTGTCTCCCTCTCTCTCTGACCCTCCCCTGCTCATGCTGTCTCTCTCTCTCTCTCAGAAATAAATAAAAAAACATTAAAAAATTAAAAAAAAAAAAGATGTAAAGCTTTGGGGCACCTGGGTGGCTCAGTCAGTTAAGCAGCCAACTCCTGATCTTGGCCCAGGTGATGACCTCACAGTTCATGAGTTCAAGCCCAGCATCAGGCTCTGCACCAACAGTGCTTGGGATTTTGTCTTTCCTTCTTTCTCTGCCCCTTAAATAAATAAACTTAAAATAAATAAATAAATTTAAAAATAAACTTAAAAAAAAAAAACAGCCTGCCCCTCAACTTCTACTCCTTCCTGTGTATCTTTATAGTAAAAATATAGATAGATAAGTAGATAGATACTGTGTGTGTGTGTGTGTGTTTGTATTACAGTATTGAAAAGGCATTCTTATATTGTTTTTCCTGGAAAACCTACTACCAGAAATGCTGATTCAATGGGTTCCAGGCAGAAGTCAGAAATACTTATAAAAGGGGCACCTGGGTGGCTCAGTGGATTAAGCTTCTTGATTTCCGCTCAAGTCATGATCTCAAGGTTTGTGAGTTCACGCCCCACAGTCTCTGCACTGACTGTGTGGAGCCTACTTGGGATTCTATCCCCTGCTTACGCATGTGTGCGCTCTCTCTCTTTCAAAATAAACTTTAGAAAATAAATTTTAAAAAAGAAACTATTTAAAAAAACGTCCCAGATGATTCTACAATCAGCCTGGTCTGGAAACGACTCTCCAGGTCTTTATCACAAAGACCATGAGACTTTGCTATGCATTTGCGTCACCTGTGAAATTTGTTTTCTTTTTTTGTCTCTAAATATTTGAATGTCCAGATCCTTCAAGAGATTCTGAACAGACAGGTCTAGCACCCAAGCATCTGTCTAAGTTGTTCTCATGTGGGTCATAAGCAACACCTTCAAGATGAAAGCCAAAAATCAAAGGGTAAAGTACTGAGGCAAAGTAATTCTAAAGGTACATCCATCCTTGGATGTCAGAAGGATTTTAAGGCACAGGCTTGCTGTCTGCAAGCAGGTCTACTTTTATGCTTTCTCTTCTCCTTATTCATAATATTCAGTATAGAAGTCTGTCTCAGAGAAAGCCAGCCACATTGGAAATGTATTAATGAATCCATGTTACAGATGAAAACACTGAGGCTGAGAAGTTAACAATACTAGGATTTTACCCAACCTGTCCCAACACCACAGCCAGGGTGCTCTTTCCTCCACCAGGCTGTAGGCACACTGAAACTGTCAGTCACAGAGCTGAGCATCCTGGGTGCTGATATGTAGTAAAAACAGTGACGAAGAGCTTCCAAAGTGAGTTGAAACTCAAGGTGACAGTAACAGTTCCTCGAACAATCCTTCTCACCTTCTCTCAAGCTCAACCTTGCTAAGTATTCATGATTTTGTATTCTTGTTTTCAGAGGTAATTCCCTTACAACAGGCTTCTAGCATTGCTGTTACATTCGTCAGCTGTGAGTCAATACTTCTTTAGCCAAATAAATTAAAGGCAGAAATGTTACATATGTGGTGGCAGTTGGTGGTGAAGATCAGAGAAAGAAAAACATGAGTACGTGTTGTAGACTGCAAGGGAAGAAAAACATACATACAAGAGAAGTTTTTTGAGGCAGAATTAACTGGGTTTTGCAATGGAAAGAAGGGAAAATAGTACAGAGGAGCACACGGTGTTCCTGAGGGGACCATTCATTGAGTAACTACAACATACAAAGTTCTGTGTTAGTGAAGAAAGCTGTTAAACAGCTTCTCAGGCCAAAATCAAACACAATTGCTGGCTAAAAACAGTAGACCTGAAGTAGGTCTGATGGAAAGGAAGAGCTAACCCCACAGACGGAACTCAGAGGGAGTAAAGATTCTATTAATAATAAATCTCATAAATTTTGACTACCAAAATGATCTAGAACTTTCCTGCCACATGGATCATTTTGATAGCAAATTTTAAAATATATATTTAGTAATCCATTTGTTGAGCTATGTTAGTTTGGATACTGAAAAAGTACATTTAAATGTGTAAGACACAATTCTTTTTCCACAGAGGAGAGTTTTTTCCTACATCTCCCACATCACTCACTTGAATCTGATTCACAGGAGCAGTTGCTGACTTCCCCAAAGATGATGATGTGCTGTTCCCCATCCTAAAAAGAAATTTAAAAGGCAGTGCAGCTTTAAACATTAAAGATAATGTATCATTAAAGATAATATATCAGATGAGATCCATTTGATGAAAACCTGATATGCAGATATATATCCAAATCTATGAAATAGAAAAAAAGAGTTTTACTTATTAGAAAATAGCAGTTTACCAAGTACTTGTTTACTAAAACCAAAAAGGACTATGTGTTTCTCTAACTAGCCTCCTAATATCCTTAATTACTTGGTTAAACCACATTTACTGTGTTTAAAGCCTGGTACACTCTTACTTCTGAACACAGAATTCAAATAGACTGTCCTAAAGACTGACCTTATGACCTGACCATTCGCTTAATGGTTTCCACTTTCTTATTAAAACATGCCAAATCTCCATGAATAACAGAGAACCTACAGAGATTCAAAGATTTTAAGGAAACTAACGTATCTCAACCATACCATCCATAACTCCAAGTTCCTAATCCGTAAAGTGGGAACATTAGTCACTCCTCCCTCAAAGGGTTTTATGAAGATTAAATGAATTGATAAAAAGTAGAACAGTGCCTTGATCACAGTATATGTTCAGTAATGTTTAACATTATTCCTATCATTCCCTGATTACAGGGACCCTCTAGATATTTATTATCTAAAACCTAGCTGTTAGGAGCTTATAAAAGGAGGCATTCATTATAATAGGAATATATCCACTAAAAATTGACTAGTTTTGTATCACCAAATCTCTGTCTATGCCTAAAACCTTTCCCCATCCACTCCATCCTTCATCAGCCAGCACCTACTGCACTGTGCAAACCATATCCAGCATCCAGATGCAAACTAATTACAGTAAAATTACAAATCTTACAAAAGAATCATAAAATAATAGATTTCAAAAGAGAACTACTCAAATTATCTAAAGATTGAGAATAAGATAAAGAACTGAAGCTTCAAATATTTCAAAAAATATTCTTATGACTATGTTCAAAACTCAAGTTTTGATAGAAAAAAATTCTCCCTCCAAACCTTTCATTCATTCACTGGGAGTGTATTTAAAATTTAAATGTCGGGGGCACCTAGCTGGCTTCGTCAGTAGAGCACGCAACTCTTGATCTTGGGGTTGTGAGTCTGAGCCCCACATCAGGCACAGAACTTACTTTAAAAAAAATAGATTTTTTACATATTATCCTTGGAAGAAGAGCAGCTGATCTATACAGCCATGCCTAGACACTTAGAATAAGGATGCTATAGCAAACATCACCTTCAGTAATCACAAAGTCAGAGACAAACTATTCAAGGAACATTGTAACATTAGAACTCCCCAATGTTCACAATCTATTAATCCTTGCTTCCCAATGGTTAACAAGGAAATCTTTAAAACAAAAAGGGCCTGTGTGCTTATCTCAGGGAACGGGTTAGGAGTGGCAAGCTAGGGAGACTGCAGCCAATTTAGGAAGACCGCAAAGGGTGCAAATTAAGAAAAAAGCAGGCTGAGTTCCTGGAGCCTAAACCAGAGAGGGGGAAAAGGGGCTAAGCAGCACTAACCTGGACCTAAGAAGGTGCTGTAAAGTAATAAATCAGCAACCTATCTGGTTTATCAACCAAGAAGACAAGTTCCTTTCATCTCTAGTCCAGCATCTAATCATTGTTCCCAAACCATCTACTACCATATTTACTACTGAAGCTATTCCAGTAGAACCTATACAGGAATGTTTCCCTGGGCAGTGAGAGGAAGTAGGAGGTACATCTAAAATATCACCCTCTACCCACCCAAATAAAAGAATAAGTTTCTGGAAAGCAACGTTCTCCTTCCATTCTGGTTAAGCTTGGCAAAAAGTTATTTCCCAATAAGGAAAAGACATCAACAGAGATGTGCACAAGCAATGTTTCACTTCAATACTCTTGTACCCAGTAGCCATAACACATTTATGGAGCACCTACTACATACTAAATATGCAAAATGCTAAATGCCCCAGAGATAGATATCACTAGAAAAAACACTCAAGGATATGACAGTCAAATAATTAACACCACGTGATTAGTACCTTCCCAACTGGGTCACCTGCTTAGCCAAGAAAGTCTTGGAGTGCCTGTGTGGCTCCCTCACTTAAGCGTGGGACTCTTGATTTTGGCTCAAGTCATGATCTCAGGGCTCATGGAATGGAGACCCACCTGAGGCTCTGCATTGACCACATGGAGCCTGCTTGGGATTCTCTCTCCCCCTCTTTCTCTTTCTCTGGCGCTCCCCAGCTCTCTCTCTCTCAAAATAAATAAATAAACAAACATTAAAAAAAGGAAAAAGTTTGTGGAGTCTTGCACAACTGGTCGGAGTTACCAAACCAAGTAAGTAGGAAGAGACTCCAAGACAGAAGGTTGGCTGCAAAGTGGCAGACACTGATTTTCCAACTTGCAGAACCACCTTGGGGCAGCTGCTGGGGCCTGAGGGTGACACAGCATCAGCCCAGGCAGTGGATACTCCATGGCACTGGGAAGGCACAGGCAACGCAATCCTCATCGGTCTAGCCAGAGGCGACATCAACGTAAGTCACAGTCCCCATCCTCAAAGACTTGGCCATTTAGCAGGAAGCGGGCTCCTTCGCTTCCTCCAGCAGCGCTGTCAGGCTTAGCAAATAAAAATGCAGAAGGCTCGAATTTTAGAACTTCTAAGTTTAGCACTTCACGTAAAAAGCAAGTGACTGTTTAGTCTAAGTATGATCCGTGCAGTGTGTGGGATACACGAAGACTAAACAAATATTCGCTGTTTATCTGAAATCCCTATTTATTATGAGGGCGGAGGGGGAGGGTTCCAAGTGACCACGACTCGGGTATTTCCAGCCTAAGGGTCACAGGATCCAACAGTCCACACAACCGCTTAGGGCACCATTCTCCCCCCACCTTTCCTGGGCTCCCTCCACTTTCGAGGGCCCCCCACCCCGGCGCCAGGGGAAGAGGCGCCCGCGCCCACCGTCCGGTCCAGACCCCCGCGAGGCCTCCGCGCCACGCCGAGCCCTTCCTGCCCGCCGCGCCCCGTACCCGGAGGCCGCAGCTCCGGGTGCCCGACCTAACCGGCCCGCGGAGCCGCTCCCGCGCGCGATCAGCCGAGTTCCCGGCAGCGCCGCGCGGCACCAGGACATGGTCGGAGCGCCGGCCCGCGGCGAGCGGAGAGAGCGGCGACCGCGGCCGGGGAGAGCTCGCCTCCGCCGGCGGGTCCTCCCGCCGCACGCCCGGCCCCGGGTGCGCCGGGCGCGCCTCGCCCCGCCCCGCCGGGCTGCCCGCGCCGCCGCCGGTCTCAGCGCGGAGTCCGGCTCAGTGCGGCGCACGTGTAGTTGAGCGGCTGCGCAGGCCGCCGCGACGCCTCACCTGCCGGCCGCCGGGGCTCGGCCCGGCCCCACACCGGTTTCTCTATGGGGCTAGGGACGCGCAAAGAGACTCGCTGGCCGGTGGAAACAGCGCGCGGGGACTGTGGCCAACATTCTGGCGAAACGGAGAAGAAAAAGGACTGAAAGAGAATCGAAATGCCCGGGATGTTTACATCAAGATGGTAGCGTCTTCGCAACTTCCGGTCGGACAGGTGTCTCTGTCCGTGAAGTGAGAGCCTGACCACGTCATCTTTAAATTAGGCTACTGATCAAGAACCCGTATAAATCGTGGGACTCTTAGGTTTACATCCAGAATTGAAAGAAAAAAGGAACCCAACGCAGAACGCTCATTCCAAAGAAAACAAAACTTGTGTTTATAAAAAAATGAAAATAGAAAATAAAACGTGACATGGTTACAGGGGTGTATTGCCATGGCTTTCAAAATAGGGAAGTGCTGTTAATGGCGACATTGTGCCACTCGTGGTAATAATAGAGCTTGGCGCGTTGCTATGCAAGTTGAGAGGGTTAGGCCTTTATATTTATTTACTGAGGACATTGAGGTCTATTTAAGGTCAAAAGGCAAATACGGTATTTTTAAAATTCTAAGCAGTTATTGGAACACCGACCTTTTTGGATCCTTCATATTCGACTAGCTAAGTTTAAGATTCGTGTGGTATTTGTAAATTTAGATCGTCTGTTTCTGACCTGCTTTTCCTATTTTCTAGTGAGTTGTTTCATTTCTTCATAAAAGGATGAAAGTTAGTTGCAAAAACAAATACTCCAAAAGGTGTGAAGTCACTCTTCATAAATCCAAAATTTAAGATATGGTATCTATAGTGTTGTGAGTTTTGATTTATTTTGAATCAAAGAAAGCTGTATAGGAAATTTACTTTGTTATTTTTGTTTTGAAGTAGAATTTTACCTTATTGTGTCAAATTGTTTTACAAAATAAAGGCCATTATGAAGTGAAACAATTATGTCACAATTCAATTTTAATATATTACAGCCTATGGTAAGCACAGAATTCACAGATATTTTTTTTAATATAGTTTATTGTCAAGTTGGTTTCCATATAAAGGACAGACTTTTTTTAAAGGGGATCCTCAAATGCAAGTACTTAGGTCTGAATACAAAAGTATTGTGTCTGAATTAAGCATAATATATTCATAATCTTCAACTTCATTGTGCTTCACTGGGTGATGGTTTTTGGTCATAATTGTGATGTCTATGATAGTACATTAACAAGTATGCCTGTTGGCTGTTCACTGAAATGTATGGTGTGAACATAATGGGGGATGGCCAGTATAGGTAGATCAAGAATATACGGGTAAAGGGGCACCTGGGTGGCTCAGTTAAACATCTGAATTGAGCTCAGGTCATGATGTCCCCGTTGGTGATGGTGCATTCTAGCCCTGAGTTGGGCTCTGTGCTGAAAGTTCAGAGCCTAGAGCCTGCTTTGGATTCTGTGTTTCCCTCTCTCTCCTTGTCCCTCCCCCACTGGCGCTCTGTCTCTCAAAAATAAATAAAAGATTTTTAAAAATTAAAAAAAGAATATATGGGTAAATGCACCCTTATGAGTTCTATACTTTGTTTTCATGACTCAATATGATATCAGTTAAAAGCATTGACATATCCTTAGATATTCTTTCAAACATTTTTTTTTTGAGAGAGAGAGAGAGAGACAGTGGGAGAGAAAGAAAGAGTGGGGAATGATAAAGGGGGAGAGAGAGAGAGAGATTTTAAGCAGGCTACATACTCATCATAGAGCCTGACACAGTGCTCCATCCCACAAACCTGGGATCATGACCTGAGCCAAAATCAAGAGTTGGAACACTCAACTGTCACCTAGGCACCCCCAAACTTGTTTTTTATTGCTTAAATTGTCAAGTAAATCTCATGCCTTTTGTTTGTGACCCCAAAACAAGTTTATCCCTTGCTTTGGATTGAAAGCTACCATTGAAAAACAAAATTCAGCTGAGTAAATTTGAAGATTTAACTGGCTTTATTCAACAATTCACAAATTGGGCAGCATCTCATCCAATAAATATTAAGGAACTCTAAGATCCTGTACAAAATGTAAGGTTTTAAAAGGCACAAAGGATGTGGGACAAGGAAGTCATAAACCTATCTTTGAGGAAGAAGGAGGTCTGGCAGATTATGTCACAAGCGCTCACCAGGAAATTCCTGATTGACCTATTAAGATTATATTCCTGGGAAAGGCTGAAACTACAAGTAGGTTAGATACTAAGTCTATTTGGTGATGAGGACTTAGTACAAGTGACTCCATTGGGACGTGTTATTTTCTTTTTTTTACACTAAGATTAGTAAATTATGAGCTCTTCTACATGAAAGGACCCCTACGGGAGGTCCTCTCTACTGGGTCCAACTTGTGGCCCTTAGCCACGTGGAAATCTTCATAAATTCTGCCTCCAAAGAAACTTTTTAGAAATAACCATAATTATGAACCCACAAAGATCAGTTATTGTATTTGTATCCTAAGGCTGTTGTAACTATCACAAATCTGAAAGAACAAAAGTGTATTTTCTCACAGTTCTGGAAACCAGAAATCCAAAGTCGGGCAGGGCTGTGTTCATTCTAGAGGCTACTATAAAGGAGAATTCATTTCCTTCCTCTTTTACCTTCTAGTACCTCCAGGTTTCCTTGGCTTCTTTGACTTGTAGCCACATTACCTCAATCTTTTTTTTTTTTTCTAATTTTTTTATGAAGTGGGGAGGGGCAGAGGCAGAGAGGGGGACAGAGGATCCATATCAGGCTTTGTACTGACAGCAGAGATCCTGATGGCAGGGCTTGAACTCAGGATCTATGAGATCATGATCCAAGCCAAAGCTGGACACTTAACCAACTGAGCCACTCAGGCACCCCATACATCACTTCAGTCTTTGCCCATATATTCACATTGCCTTCTCATCTGTCTGTGATAATGACACTTGTGGTTAGATTTAGGCCATACATGGGTAATCCAGGATGATCTAATCTCAAACTCCTTAACTTAATTGTATCTGCAAGGAGTCAGTTTTCCAAATAAGGTAACATTCACAAGTTCCAGGGATTTGACCTGGATATATAGGATCATTTTTTAGCTTATCACAATGACAATACTCAAACAGCCTGGATAAAGCCTGATATTTCATTATTGTCTTATGTAATTTGTTAAAATTCTGTGAATTTTATGTTTTACTCATTTTCTGTTTTTGTTTTACTGTATTCATTCATCCTTTACTATATCAGTCACTGGTCTAGGTACAGGATACAGAGAAGGTACCTGCCCATAAGAGATAAAATTCTGTCTTTTCTCCAGTTTTTTTTTAAATATCGTATAAAATTCATGGTTTATAAAGATGTGCCATATTTCTACTTTGGTATCACTGGTAAAGAGCCCCATTTGAAAACGTGTGCCCATCCATTGTTTTAGACTAAACAATGTCTCCCCCTTATGTTTTTCCCCAAATACACTATAGCTGTACTTAAAACCACATTAGTTTAAAACCATTACTGAAACTTGTTATAACCCTTTTTAGCATTATAGAGTTTCTCATTCTACAAGTACAAAAATTACAATGTATTGTTATTTCACAAGAAGGCTTAAGAAGGACTGTTTGCTTTTTCAAACCACAACTGATTTTTGGATGCTCTCTTATCAACTGGCTGTTCTACAATTCAATTCAATTTTGACAAGAGCTACTTGGAGTTAGTATACACCCACAGATTAAGGGCTCAGTCCCACAAGACTGCCTCCACTGCAGACACCAGCCACAAATGGGGTGTCCAGACTACCCACACTTCTGCCCTGCCAACTACAAAATTTGGTGTTATCATGACCTTCCCTCAGATTCAAAAACTTGCTAGAAAAACTCATTAAACTCGGGAAAATATTGTACTTACAATTACAGCTTTATTATGAAGGATACAACTCAAGAACAGGCAAATGGAAGGGATGTTCGGACAGGGGTGGGTGCAGACCTTCCACACTCTCTTCAGGTGCACCAGCCTCCCAGCAAATCAATGTGTCCACCAACTCAGAAGCTCCCCTAAAACCTTGTCATTCAGGAATTTTCATCAAAGTGTCATTGATAGGCATGAATGATTAAATCATTTGCCGTAGGTGCTTGAATTAAATCACCAGCCCCCTCTCCTCCCCTGACCAGTGAAAGGTAAGGGATGGGGGAGGAGGCAGAATTGAAAGTCCCTTAAGTACAGCCAGCCCCTCCCTCAGAACTAAGGGTCCACCAACGACCACTTCATTAGCAAAAACTCAGGTATAAGGGAAAGAGCCTTGTTATGAATAACAAAAGACACTTCAATCCCTCAGGAAATTCCAAAGTTTTTATAGAAGCCAAGGACCAAACTCAGGGCAAAAACCAGTTACAGGGGCGCTGGGCTGACTCATTCAGAGGAGCATACAGCTCCTGATCTCAAGGTTGTGAATTCAAGCCCCACGTTGGGTGTAGAGATTACTTAAAAAATTAAAACCTTAAAAGTGTTTTAAAAACACAAGTATGTATATTTTTATTACACCACAAAAATCTATCTTGTCTTTTTATAGAAACTCAGGGATAAAAAGCCATAACAAATGGAAGTGTCAAATGTTATTTGAAGTTCTCATATTCAGAAAGCACATAATTCAGGCTCCTAATTCAAGAATAAAATGAATTTGAAAAAAAAGGTAGAATATCCACCAGAAGGGTAAGAATGGAAAGGATTATTTAAGGATTTATTCAGAATTTTTAAGTGTCAGATTGAAATATATTTAAATGCTCTGAGCCCAGTGAACAGAAGGAAAACTAGATAATGAGTTATTATATAGAATTATATCAAAGAGTTGGCAACAGGATGTTCCTGAACTAAGTATGTCCCAAG